CCTCACGTCAGACTCGAAAAGCGAAAGCACCTGGTTGTCCAGAACAGTGAGAGCCTTTCTGGATGGCTCGGTATTTTCTGCCTCGAAGCGAGCATAGAATGTGTTAAGCTCATCTGGGAGGGAGGCTTCAGTGGGCACCACACAGCTGGATTTGCCTTTGTAGTCTGTGATAGCCTGTTGTCATTGTCATATACGTCGCAATTAATTAACTCGGCCCACCCCCACTACATTGCAGAAAGTTAGGCTTCACTTGAAGCTACCCATCCTTCCACACAACCCATCGTGACCTTACAGGGATGCCCTGTGTTGAGGTTCAGCTTACCGTGGCAACAGGAAATGGCTTAATTCATCATCAATATGGTGCTTCATTCTCTCCCTGCAGTTACAAAAAAAACACTCTTCCATCCTCTGTAGAACGGTCAATTCTTAACGTAAAGACGTGAAACTCAGAGCATTGTTAAAGAGTGTCCCCACTGAATGTACAGGCCGTGACTTAGGGGCTGTCTCAAGGGTTACAAAGATTGCATCTTCCCAAATGTTACATATTTGTGACGGGGGACCGCCATATGAAATTTGAAGTCAATTTACCCAAAAGCATTTTTGTCCTCTATTGGATACAATGGTCTTGCAGTTCTATAAGCTAAGAGCCTTGTTAGAATGTATTCTGACTTGAAACTGTCTGAGTTCTTCACCAATTTAGCCATTGCAGCTGTATCACCAACTTTTTTGCCTTGAATGCAATGTATTGACTAATGCATTAATGTCCTTGACACATATTTATTTGTCAATATTCTGTCTGTGGCACAGAGAGAGAGAGAGAGAGAGAGAGAGAGAGAGAGAGAGAGAGAGAGAGAGAGAGAGAGAGAGAGAGAGAGAGAGAGAGAGGAAGGAAGGAGGTGAGAGAGGAAGGAGGTGAGAGAGGAAGGAGGGAGAGAGAAGATGGGGGATAGAGAGATGGGGAGAGGGGGTAATAGAGAGAGACATGTCTGTCTGTCTAAACCTAATCTTTTCCCATTGACTGGAATTTATTGACGTAAGCATGACACTCATCTTTTCAAATTGAACGCAATGTATTGACATACACGTCAACACTCTGACACTGATCTTTTCCAGGATTACGTTTACGTTTCCAGGATAACGTTTTCCTATGATATCATGTGGATCCAGCGCAGAGCAGAGTTCACTCAGTCAGTGGCTGTCTAGACTTGTGTCCCAAATGGTACCCTATTCCCTACATAGTGCGCTACTTTTGACCAGAGCAGAGCAGGCAGTAGAATACAACTGGGCTGCAGTTGTATTCTACTGCTGAAAGTTATAATAATCACGTCATCCCACCAAGGCATTTGCTTGTGATAATTTGAATTTTTTAACAAATCGCCAAAAGACTAAATCTATTCAAGGAATTTTACCTCAATCTTAATTAATCAGTGATGACAATTTTCATTGCTGATTAAGGTACTGCCCCCCCTTCAAAATAATGTGTTGTTCCACATGACAACATTTTACACCAAGAGCCTAGATTGAATTCGTCATAAACTACAATAACATTTTCAGATGTACCTTTTGAGTGACCTTGTGTATCCCATAGAAGTGTTGAGAATTGTCCATGTTTTGACTCAGGTTTCTTGGTTTTGGGTATTTTAGATCAGGGATGGACAACTACATTCCTCAGGGGCCTGGTTGGTGTCACACTTTATCCCCAGCCCCAGCTAACACACCTGACTCCAATAATCAACTAATCATGATCTTCAGTTTAGAATGCAATTAGTTTCATCAACTGTGTTTGCTAGGGATGGGGGAAAAGTTTGACAATACTCCAGCCCCCAAGGAGTTGCCCATTTCTGTTTTAGATGTTTAGTTAGAATGGTAGCCTAGCTCAGACATTAACATAGTATCTTGATTTGAGCTTTTCATCCACATTGTACAATAAACTTAATTCTAACATCAAATTGAACTGTTGACTTCTTACATATGTATGTGCATGACATGGAGGCTGATATAGCAGACAGTGATTGAGCTGTCCTAGCAGTCTCTTGCCTCAGTCACACATTCAAGAAGAAGCGTTATATCGCTCCCTTGTGGTCATATATTTGAAATCTTTTTACAACTGGATAGCCTTGGAAGAGGAACATGAGAACAAATTATTTACATTTTAGTCATTTAGCAGACGCTGTTATCCAGAGCGACTTACAGTTAGTGAGTGCATACATATTTTTAATTTTTATTTTTTAACATATTTGGGATTATGACAACGATGTGTTCTGCAAGTGCATGAGGTCTGAACATTTTCACAATACAGAAATTAATTTAAATATGTTTATTTTCCTAGACCATCATGAAAAGGGGCATGATGGAAGCCCTACAATATTACGTTTTGCTTAGTAGTGAGAATGCTCGGGAGCAGGCAGTGTTGAAAAGTAATATTTTGTACTTTTCTTAAATGTATTTTTTTTGTAATTGACTGAAACAAGCAGACCGGAACATTCAGCTAGACAAGACCAACAACATAAACAAACTATACAGTAGTGAGTGGAGTTACAAACAGACTATACTAAACAAGTTAAAGTCTTATGTGTGATAAAATGTTTTCCACACACATAACTACGTGTAGCCAGCCTTCTTGGACACCGGGTCCCCACATTTCCCACTCTCCCACGCCGAAGAGCCTGAAGCCGCACATGGCTCTTCTCTCAGGCTCTATTTCCCTACATGGGAGCATTGTGAACCGTAGGTCGGGATTTTCGACCTGGTTACAAGTACATTAAACAACACAGCATCTTTTCAGTATGTTTTGTTATTTCTGTATCTTTTGTGATGGGAAGAAGAAGAAAAAAACGCCAATTTGTGGCCGTGGTCGAAAGGGAAATCCTTCTTATGACGTGAATATCGACTCGGAGTATACCATATTGTCATGACAACGGACGGATCAATCATATTATTGTGCAATCTGAAGGTTACATAAGCCATGTATTTTTCTGCACTCATTCACACACTTTTTTTGAGCTTGCCAGAAAGTGCACTAAAGTCCCTAATGTTACTATCCACAAGCTGCTAGTGAGTGAAAAGAGGCTCTGATCGTAACTGATCAAATAGCACCAATGTTACATGACAAGATATTCGGAGGGTGTTGTCCAAATAGTAAATCACCCTGAACCTTATACTTAATTTACTATGACGAGCCTACCTGAGATAAGAGACAAGTATAAAATGTACTTATTCAATACATTGTAATGTTGACAGTATACTGTATGTATAAAATAACTATTTTCATGAGATGTGGAGTCCTCTATGTCAGGGGTCGGCAACAGGCGGCCCGCAGACCAAAACCGGCCCGCAAGTGATTATTTTTGGCCCCCCAAAGTGTTTTGCAAAAATATATACACTGAACAAATAAATAAAAGGCAGTTGACATAAAGAAATCAAACAATGTAAATAAATTCATTAGGCCCTAATCTATGGATTTCACATGACTGGGAATACAGACATTTTTGGTCACAGTACCTTAAAAAAAAAGTAGGGGCGTGGATCAGAAAACCAGTCAGGTGTGACCACCTTTGCCTCATGCAGCGCAACACATTTCCTATGCATGTTGATCAGGCTGTTGATTGTGGCCTGTGGAATGTGGTCCCACTCCTCTTCAATGGCTGTGCGAAGTTGCTGGATATTGGCAGAAACTGGAACACGCTGTTGTACACGTCTGGGACATTTTCAGCTTCCAGGAATTGCGTAGAGATCCTTGCGACATGGGCTGTGCATTATCATGCTGAAACATGAGGTGATGGCGGCGGATGAATGGCACGACAATGGGTGTCAGGATCTCGTTACGGTATCTCTAGCATTCAAATTGCCATCGATTAAATGCAATTGTGTTTGTTGTCCGTACCTTATGCCTGCCCATACGATAACCCCACGCCACCGTGGGGCATTCTATTCACAGCGTTGACATCAGTAAACCGCTTGCCCACACAACGTCAAACACGCTGTCTGCCATCTGCTTAGTACAGTTGAAACCGGGATTCATACGTGAAGAGCACACTTCTCCAGCATGCCAGTGGCCATCGAAGGTGAGCATTTGCCCACTGAAGTCGGTTACGACACCAAACTGCAGTCAGGTCAAGACCCTGGTGAGGACGACGGGCACACAGATGAGCTTCCCTGAGACGGTTTCTTACAGTTTGTGCAGAAATTCTTTGGTTGTGCAAACCCACAACTGTCCGGGAGGCTGGTCTCAGACGATCCTGCAGGTGAAGAAGCCGGATGTGGAGGTCCTGGGCTGGCGTTGTTACATGTGGTCTGCGGTTGTGAGGCTGGTTGGACATACTGCCAAATTCTCTAAAACGACATTGGTAGAGAATTAAACACTAAATTCTCTGGCAACAGCTCTGGTGGACATTCCTGCAGTCACCTTGCCAATTGCACACTCCCTCAAAACTTGAGACATCTGTGGCATTGTGGTGTGTGACAAAACTGCACATTTTAGAGCAGCCTTTTATTGTCCCCAACACAAAGTGCACCTGTGTAATGATCATGCTGTTTAATCAGCTTCTTGATATGCCACACCTGTCACAGGTGGATGGATTATCTTGGCAAAGGAGAAATGCTCACTAACAGGGATGTAAAGAAATGTGTGCACAACATTTGAGCTAAATAAGCTTTTTGTGCGTATGGATAAAATTTATTTGATCTTTTATTTCAGCTCATGAAACATGGGACCACAACCTACATGTTATGTTTATATTTTTCATCAGCATATACTGTATACCATACTATACAAATAATCTATAGCTTAGGAGACACTCACACACGCTGTATATTACAGCCCTGGGTTAAGAACTGAAAATACATTTTGTTTATGGTAAATATACAATGTGGTTGTGCACTGAGCTTGATGAAGTACCTGTTTAGAAAGTTATGTTGAGTGTCTTGAAAAAAGGGACTACTGCTCCTTTAAGAAGATAGTTTTACGACAACTTTTTAGGGTATTACGTATTTTACGGCAGTGGTGATTCAAAATGGAGTAACCAGCAAAATCATCAAGGTTGATTGCCAATTAGCTAGGGGCATTATATTCCTATCTCTAAAGTTAAACTCATCGTATTACTAGCAAATGTAATATTTTCATCAGTATGGTTGATAAGAAGAAACCAGACTCTTTCCATTACTTCATGAGTTACGATGATCTGAGTGACAGTAGCGATAGTAACAGCAGCGATTCTGATGAACAGGGCCAGAAGAAATCGAAAGGAAAGGGTGGGGGCGATGCTACTGGAAGCGGCAGCAAATCTCCCCAACACGGGACCAAGCGGGCGGTTAGTGGAGCTCCTCTACCCAAACCTGATGAGCTCTTCAAGTCGGTTTCCAAGCCATCCTTCCTGTACAACCCATTGAATAAACAGATAGATTGGGAGAGTCGCGCCGTGAAAGCTCCTGAAGAGGTACTGTACAAATACTGTTGACGTAGCTAGTTAGTTGTTGACCTAGTAACTTGTGTAGTTGGCTTGCAATGTAACGTTAACTAGCTAACTAAATTAATTCCCACAGTGACACAAAAACATAGCTGCTAGTGTAGTGTTACATTAGTCAGTGAAACACCACTGTACTGTATTCTACCAGCTAGCTAGTTTTACAAGCAAGCTACAGTGTTGATACAGGTTTAGAGATAAATAGTAATGGCGTCTTTTTGTAGACCCTAACTCAGCAATTGGACACAGGCTGCTATGAGGAAATGAATGGCGTTTTGGATAAACGGCGAAATTAATGTCTGTGGTAATCACAGGCTTAGGAAATCTTATACGTTTTGTTCTGAGATAACCTTCATCAGCTAACGTCACTTTTTGTGAATTTTGAAGAATTTATGTTATAATAAAAAACAAATCACAAAAGTTTCTTAATTCATAAAGGTCATGTTAACTGACTGCTATTAAAACGTATACGACCTCCTAAGCCTGTGTTAACCTCAGACCTTCGGCGTTTATTCCCAAACTGTATTCTTTCCCCATTAATTTATTCTGTAGGGATGGCTGAACGAACCAGAGTTAATTTAATTCCGGAGTTTAAGGACTACAAGCTGGTGAGCAGTTGCCATACCAGGCGGTGATGCAACCAGTCAGGATGTTCTTGATGGTGCAGCTGTAGAACTTTTTGAGGATCTGAGGACACATGCCAAATCTTTTCAGTCTCCTGAGGGGGAATAGGCTTTGTCATGCCCTCTTCACGACTGTCTTGGTGTGTTTGGACCATGATATTTTGTTGGTGATGTGGACACCAAGGAACTTGAAGCTCTCAACCTGTTCCACTACAGCCCTGTCGATGAGAATGGGGGCGTGCTCAGTCCTCTTTTTTTTCCTGTAGTCCACAATAATCTCCTTTGTCTTGATCACGTTGAGGGAGAGGTTGTTATCCTGGTACCACATGGGGTTGGAGTCGTGCCTGTCCATGCAGTCATGGGTAAACAGGGAGTACAGGAGGGGACTGAGCACGCACCCCTGAGGGGCCCCAGTGTTGAGGAACAGCGTGGCAGATGTGTTGTTACCTACCCTTACCACCTGGGGGCGGCCCGTCAGGAAGTCCAGGATCCTGTTGCAGAGGGAGGTGTTTAGTCCCAGGGTCCTTAGCTTAGTGATGAGCTTTGAGGGCACTATGGTGTTGAACGCTGAGCTGTAGTCAATGAATAGCATTCTCATGTAGGTGTTCCTCTTGTCCAGGTGGGAAAGGGCAGTGTGGAGTGCAATAGAGATTGCATCATCTGTGGATCTGTTGGGGCGGTATTCAAATTCGGTGGGTCTAGGGTTTCTGGGATAATGGTGTTGATGTGAGCCATGACCAGCCTTTCAAAGCACTTCTAGGCTACAGACGTGAGTGCTATGGGTCGGTAGTCATTTAGGCAGGTTCTTAGTTTTCTTGGGCACAGGGACTATGGTGGTCTGCTTGAAACATGTTGGTATTACAGACTCAGTCGTCAGGGACATGTTGAAAATGTCAGTGAAGACACTTGCCAGTTGGTCAGCACATGCTCGGAGTACACATCCTGGTAATCTGTCTGGCCCTGCGGCCTTATGAATGTTGACCTGCTTAAAAGTCTTACTCACATCGGCTACGGAGAGCATGATCACACAGTCATCCGGAACAGCTGATGCTCTCATGCATGCTTCAGTGTTGCTTGCTTGCGAGCATAGAAGTGATTTAGCTCGTCTGGTAGGCTTGTGTCACTGGGCAGCTCGCGGCTGTGCTTCCCTTTGTAGTCTGTAATAGTTTTCAAGCCCTGCCACATCCTACAAGCGTCAGAGCCGGTGTAGTACGATTCAATCTTAGTCCTGTATTGACTCGGAAGGCATAGCGGGATTTCTTATAAGCGTCCGGGTTAGAGTCTCGCTCCTTGAAAGTAGCAGCACTACCCTTTAGCTCAGTGCGGATGTTGCCTGTAATCCATGGCTTCTGGTTGGGGTATGTACGTGCGGTCACTGTGGGGACGACGTCATCGATGCACTTATTGATGAAACCAGTGACTGATGTGGTGTTGTACTCAATGCTATCGGAAGAACAATTGGTTCTAATCCCTGAGCCGACTAGGTGAAAAATCTGTCGATGTGCCTTTGAGCAAGGCACTTAACCCTAATTGCTCCTGTAAATCGCTCTGGGTAAGAGTGTCTGCTAAATAACTAAAATGTAAATGTTAAATGTAGTGTAAAGGTGGTCGAGTGTTTTGTTTTTTTCTTTAATTATTTGTTGTTTTATTATTTTTTATCCGGTTGCATATTTAACATGCTGGTAGAAATTAGGTAGAACGGATTTAAGTTTCCCTGCATTAAAGTCCCCCGGCCACTAGGAGCGCTGCCTCTGGATGAGCATTTTCCTGTTTACTTATGGCCTTATACAGCTCATTGAGTGCAATCTTAATGCCAGCATTGGTTTCTGGTGGTAAATAGACGGCTACGAGAAATATAGATGAATACTCTCTTGGTAAATAGTGTAGTCTACAGCTTATCATGAGATACTCTACCTCAGGCGAGCAAAACCTAGAGACTTCCTTAGTATTAGATTCTATGCACCAGATGTTATTTACAAATATACACAGACCACCACCCTTTGTCTTACCAGAGTCAGTCGTTCTATCCTGCCGATGTAGCGTATATCCCGCCAGCTGTATGTTATCCATGTCGTCGTTCAGCCACGACTTGGTGAAACATAAGATATTACAGTTTTTAATGTCCCGTTGGTAGGATAATCTTAGGTCATCCAATTTATTTTCAAATGATTGAACATTGGCTAATAGGTTTGACGGAAGAGGCAGTTTACTCGCCGTCGGATCCTTACAAGGCACCCTGACCTACGTCCACGATATCTCTGTCTCTCTTTCTCATGCGAATAACGGGGATTTGGGCCTTGGCGGGTATCTGTAGAATTTCCTTCGCGTCCGACTCGTTGAAGAAAAAATCTTTGTCCAATACGAGGTGAGTAATCGCTGTCCTGATATCCAGAAGCTCTTTTTGGTCATAAGAGACGGTGGCAGAAACATTATGTGCAGAATAAATTACAAATAACGCGAAAAAAAACACATAATAGTACAATTGTTTAGAGGGCTGTAAAACCAACAGTAAATAAACAAACTAAATCAAACATTTTCTGTTTAATAATAAATCAATAAAAATCTGATCCCTACACAGGCTCCAGGGCAACCTGGGAGGTCAGGTCTTCCGGCGCCAGTACCCCTTGCAAGTCTTCAGATGTAAAATCATTAAGTCCCAAAAACTTTTCTGCCGCAGCCACAATAATGTCCAGTTTCTTAGATTTCTTTGAGACTTGAGCCGTACAATTTATAACTGTGGCAATGAACGCCACAAAATCCACCTTTTTAACACACAGGGTATCTTTTGACTAGCAGCAAACATTTACTACAGGCTGTGGTGCATCCACTACCATATTTTCACTAGCATCACTTTACTCAATTATTTTAATCGCCTCCGCATAGGAGATTCGATTGACCGCTCGTAACTTTTGCCACCTCAATCTCCTTCACCCTTACAGGGCACTCCAGGAACTTGGGATCATGATCCCCACCACAATTGCAACACCGTCGTCTTTCTATACACCGTTCTTCAATATACTCTGTCCGTCTGCACACACTTGAAACATGGTCCAAATCCTTTACAATTCTTACACTGCAATGGTTTGGAGACGAAAGCTCTTACATCGTATCTTACATAACTAAGCTTCACCTGCGTAGGTATTTGCTCTTTATCAAAAAACAACAGGACCGGCAGACTTTCTTATTTTTCTCCATTCACCCAGCGGGTCAGACGCCGGGCACCAACCACACCAGGAATTGTCTTCAGGGATTCAACCTGAACATCCGTCGTCACCCCTGACATGACTCCTTTGACTGGTGCTCTACTCCAAAGTTCAAACGCAAAACTTATATTGTCTGGATTATTTTGAGGCTCACTGCAATCTTCCTCTGTTCTTCAGAAATACAATTAATCCAAATAAGACCACTCCTGGTCACTCTGACGGACTCTACTTTTCCCACATATGCATCCTTACTCAACAAACGCACCCAACAAGAAACAATGTATTATCATTCATACAAGTATCCTCCTCTCCAATTTTAGACAATTTCCTTTTTGTTCCAGTTTTCGATACTACTGTTTTCCTTTCAGAACATTCGTCTTCACCAACTTTGCTTGACGCGCTGCTTGATTCGAATTCATCATCCATTTCCGCCAACTTTCCACAGCTCGTCAACTGGCGAGCTCTATTCCAGGGATTTTCTAGTTTTAGTTGACTGCCAGCTAACATGTTATATTGGCTAGCAGTTTGTAACGGCTAATGTGATGCTCCTCCATTAGCCTTTACAGGATAGGTACTGTTTGGCGTAGCAGAGAATTTTCAACCAACCTGAACCTGGCGATACTGTCTTCGTTCTCGATTCGGCCAAACATGCATCTTCTCAAATGTCTGTGTCCAGTTGCAGGTGGTTCGTTTGAATTGAGAAAATGCTCCGTTATTAAAATATTTTTTTTGCTCCATTAAGTAATCCAACGTCTATTTCCCCCCAAAAAATCAAATTGTATTCGTCACATCCTTCGTAAACAACGGGTGTGGACTAGCAGTGACATGCTTACTTACGGGCCCTTCTCAACAATGCAGAGAGAGAAAAATCATAGATAAGTAAAACACGTAGATATGTACATATAACTAGGAATAAAGTGACCGATGGTAAACAGTAGCAACCATGTATGTGATGAGTCAAAGTTAGTGCAAAAAGGGTCAAAACAGATTGTCCGGGTAGCTATTTGGTTAACTATTTAACTAACTATTTAGCAGTCTTATGGCTCAGGGGTAGAAGCTGTTCAGGGTCCTGTTGGTTCCAGGCTTCGCATCAGTATCGATCGCCGTGCGGTAGCAGAGAGAACTGTCTATGACTTGGGTGTCTGGAGTCTTTGACAATTGTTAGGGCCTTCCTCTGCCTGGTATAGTCCTGGATGGCAGAGAGTTCGGCCCCAGTGATATACAGGGCCGTATGCACTACCCTCTGTACCGCCTTGCGGTCGGATGCCAAGCAGTTGCCATACCAAGCGGTGATGCAGCCAGTCAAGATGCTCTCATTGGTGCAGCTGTAGAACCTTTTGAGGATCTGTGGGCCAATGCCAAATCTTTTCAGCTTCCTGAGGGGGGGAAAGGTGTTGTCGTGCCCTCTTCATGACTGTGTTGGTGTGTTTTGACCTTGATAGATCCCTTAGTGATGTGGACACAGAGGAACTTGAATCTCTCGACCCGCTCCACTACAGCCCCATCAATGTGAATGGGGGCGAGCTCGGCCCTCAGTTTCCTGTAGTTCACACTGCCAGGTCTATGACCTCCTCCCTATAGGCTATCACGGCGACGGTGATCAGGCCTACCACCGTCGTTTCGTCTGCAAACTTAATGATGGTGTTGGAGTCAAGCGTGGACACGCAGTCGTGGGTGAACAGGTAGTACAGGTGGGGACTAAGCGCGCACCCGAGGTGCCCCCGTGTTAAGGGTCAGCGTGGCGGATGTGTTGTTGCCTACCCTCACCACCTGGGGGCGGCCCATCAGTAAGTCCAGGATCCAGTTGCAGAGGGAGGTGTTCTGTCCCAGGGTCCTAAGCTTAGTGATGAGCTTGGAGGGCACTATGGTGTTGAACGCTGAGCTGTAGTCAATTAACAGCATTCTCACGTAGGTGTTCCTTTTGTCTAAGTGGGAAAGGGCCGTGTGGAAGCCATATTACAACCTATGTTGTGATAATTGTGTTGTTTGCTCTATAACCTGTTAGTTCATTTGCCTTGCGACCGTGATATATAAGCCTAAGGCTGAGACAATAAGAAGACAGTGGCAGAATAAATTCAACCACACCTTTTGTTTCATCACAAAACCGGACAGCAACCTCTGTCCGGTGAAGTCCACGAAGCATATTGCATGGAACAAACACTTACATAACCTACAGCATGGTCAAGCAAGTTTTTCCAGACATTTTCGGACCACTAAATAACTATTGATTTAGAACCACAGAGTTACTGCAAGTCACAAAGAAAACAGGAGCTGCCTCCACTATTCCATCACCATTTCAACTTTAACATTTCAACATCATCAAATCACCTATGCTTATTAGTCTAATACAGTGACAACTAAAAGATACCAAAAACTATTTAGTCCAATCAACGTAAGCTAAATATGAGGTGGCTGTCCATTGTTCTGATTTGTGTTTGTGTGCGTGCGTTCTTGCAAGTAGAAAAAACATGTTGACTCACCTTACTGGTAGAGAAACACCAATGCCACCCTCCTCTCTTTCATGTTGACGAAACGGTCTGACTCTGTCATGCAGTACACGCTTTTATTTTTTGTTGTCCTAAACTACCTGGCTAAAATGCTTGCTCGCTAGCCTAATTTCCTTTCATGGGCAGCATTAGCTAGTTAACATTAGCCTTCTACATATTGAACTTCCATCCTTTCAGTCCAGGGGCAAAATGTATGAATGTATGGTTGGATCAGAATCGCTGTTATAATCATTGGCCAGAACGGAGAATTAAGTAAAAACCACATGGCTAATTTAGGAAAGGGACAATTTTTTGGGGGGTAAGGTTTGTATCACAACTAAAGTGGCCAAATAACTTCTTAAAATTAAGCACATCTGCTTTACAAAGGGCGTAGAACCTAACTGGCATTCATAAGCAGCGTGTAGAAATGCACCTTTTTATAATAAAAGCATTATATGCGTAAATCACATTTGCAGTCACTTTTGATAATGTTGTTTTCCCGCTAATGGAACATTCGCGCTCATAGCCTATTGCTGTGTGCACGTTGCTGCGCTTATAATGTGAAGAAATAGCCTAATAGTTTATCAACATGTTAAGCTAAACGTTCTGATCTGTTGCGTCAGCCGCATTGTCAGGTTTTTTGATACTAGTGGTTGTATTAATTTGGGAGCTATCGCATCCCACAACTGTCCCAGACTATGTTTGGAATAATTATTTCTCACAGAATAGAATAGGTCTGCTTTTGTACTATGGGGGATAGTAGATTGACATAGGCTAGTGCTTGTGCTGTTCGTTAGGCCTACTCAGCTTGTTGGCTAACGAAAAGTAAATGTGGACAGGTCTTCAATATGCACCTCAGAATTGGATAAGGACGTGCGCAGTTGCGTCTCCGATGTCTGTCTTCACTTGTAGTCTGTGAGAAAGACCCGATCACGTGATGGAGAGCCATGTGAGTGAGTGGTGCTTCGGAGCACGCAGCACTCAGGGAGAAGGGAATTATAATTATAATATTTAGCCCAAGGGCACAACGGCATGGATTTTTTTAGGGTGCATTACGGCCACCCAAAGGGGATGCCGCTGGGAAATTCGAGGCAATATCAAGTGCTTGTCAAATTGTGAATGAGAGACTGATTAAGTGTGTACAGCCTGCGCAAAAACAAAGCAGATCTCATGCCTTTCAAGCGACTCGCATCATGCAGCCTTATATTACAATGTATAAAAAAATCAAAACATGTAGCACTACCTTTGTAGAACAACTAAAGTTACATTAATGACTCTAAGTTTAGCATATAAAGAGTACCTATTTCTTTGTTAACAACTCAACACAGAATAGCCGCATGTGCGCACTCCCTCAAATCATTTGGAGAAAATATCCTTTCTATTTTATTCAACTTTGTTCAATTGCATTCTTCATACTATAAAATAATGCCACAGGTATTATAAGCAAATCTTGTCTGCTAAATGAACTAGCGTAGCCCACAGCCATGTGGCATAGCCAGATTAGGACCTAACATAAGGACAACTCAGAGTATGCTATTCTGTTCTTCTGAAATGGACTACATTTTCTTCATATCATGTTTCTTTAGACCTGTCTAAAGTAAGTAATGGATTTATTGTGAAGGTGTACGCTATATTACATGGATTTATTAGACTTTTTAATATGTAGTTTTTCCAAAGGTCTGCATTAGTGGCTTGTAGGCTATGTGTGGAACCCAGGAGATGCTAAATGTGTTTATGTTAATTAACGGTCAATTACCGTGAGACTGGCAGTTATTTGCTTGACAATCACCGGCTGACGAAATTTCGTGACCGCCACAGCCCTAGAACCGGCACGCCTGGCTCCCATCATACCACGCTCAGCCGCTTAGGTCACTCGCTTTGCCCATTATAACATTCAATCGAACAGTAACTGAATGCCTCAATGCATGTCTACCTGCTTTATATAGCAAGCCACAGCCACATGACTCACTGTCTGTAGGCGCAAACCATTTTTGTGACCTAATAAACTGGCCAGTGTTTTTTTGTTGTTGCCACATACACCAGATAGGTAGTAAAATGTGTTGTATTATAACCCCATGCATTGTAAACCGTACCCTTGCGGCACAGATGAATAGGAGAAACCTTTCGTTTTTTTTATGAAAAGGGGAGTTGGTTATAAGTATCTTTGCCTGCAGCCTGCCAAGGAGTTCAAGGTGTGGAAGACGAATGCGGTGCCCCCTCCTCAGACTTACGCCACAGAAACAGAGAAGCCCAAGAAGGGAGCTCCCCCGGGTATGGACATGGCCATAAAGTGGTCCAACATCTACGAGGATAACGGAGAAGACGCTCCACAGCCTCACACGGGCAACGCTGTCTTCCTGCCCACAGAGGAACAGCCATCAGATTCAGGTAGGGGGAAAACAATATTGCCTGTATGACTGACCACAGTCTCCCTGCTTAGTATAGCCAAAGATACTGATAACTAACCCAAGATTTATCATTGGCGTTCTTTCCAATGGGAGCAAATGAAGCATAATGGGCAGAAACAAGCAAGGAGGTGGGTAGAGCCAACCACGACCTAGCGAGATCCAATTGGCGCTTTTTATTATGTATTTGCAGATTTCTGTTAGGGAACGCCTACTGAAACACACTCACTCAGCATACCAGGTGATGCACACTCACTCACACAAAACACACACTCACAGCCCATGTTGTAGAGACATTGAACCACTGGTCACGTCCCAATTGGTCACTGCTTATTCTAATATTTCTACTACTGTACATTGTATTTTAGTTGTACGGTTTATACACACCACATTCATTTATATACTGGATTCTTGACATGGCTCACTCTAATATATCTACTGCTGTAGCTACATATCATTCTTTATCTTGTGTAAATTCCCCCCGGTGTACATACACTACCAGTCAATAGTTTGGACACCTACTCATTCAATTTTTTTTTTTTTTTTTTTTTTATGTTTTACATTGTAGAATAATAGTGAAGACATCAAAACTATGAAATAACACATATGGAATCATGTAGTAACAGAAGAAGTGTTAAACAAATGAAAATATATTTTCTATTTGAGATTCTTCAAATAGCCACCCTTTGCCTTGATGACAGCTTTGCACACTCTTGGCATTCTCTCAACCAGCTTCACCTGGAATGCTTTTCCAACAGTCTTGAATGATTTCCCACATATGCTGAGCACTTGTTGGCTGCTTTTCCTTCACTCTGCCGTCCGACTCATCCCAAACCATCTTAATTGGGTTGAGGTCGGGGGATTGTGGAGGCCAGGTCATCTGATGCAGCACTCCATCACTTTCCTTCTTGGTAAAATAGCCCTTACACAGCCTGGAGGCTACAGACCTCTACTTGCTTTGTAAGTAGGAAACACTGCCGATTTTGCAGGTTATCAAATACTTGTTCTCCCCACTGTATATATTGCATTTTGATACTGCTACAGTGCTATTTGGGTTATTTGGATTCGTCCCACCGTTCTTAAAATCGTGCTTTTTGTTGTATTTTTTCTTTACATTTTAATTGTTTATTTGACATTTACATTACATTTACGTCATTTAGCAGACGCTCTTATCCAGAGCGACTTACATTATTTTTTTTATACCCCCGTGGGAATCGAACCCACAACCCTGGCGTTGCAAACGCCATGCTCTACCAACTGAGCTACATCCCTGCCGGCCATTCCCTCCCCTACCCTAGACGACGCTGGGCCAATTGTGCGTCGCCCCATTGGTGTCACGGCCGGCTACGACAGAGCCTGGATTCGAACCAGGATCTCTAGTGGCACAGCTAGCACTGCGATGCAGTGCCTTAGACCACTGCGCCACGCGCTCCTTGTTAGGAGCTAGCTAGTTCATTGCACTGCTATAACACCTGCTAAACAGTACGAAACCAATAAACTTTAGTGGTGAGAAGTCCTAAACGGATGCTTCAGATTTATAGCCACTGTGATGTCTGGTTTTCCCCTTTTTGTCTGTGGTATAGCTTCCTCCTTATTTGGTACTACATAGGGTACACTGTCCAAGTCCAAACAACTGCTTGAACCAGGGTCCAATGCCTCACAAACCGACATTACTGCTCGCTTGACAACGTACTAGCCAGTTGTGCCACTGAAAAGTTAGCAATTCTGTGACGCGAGTGGAGACATTTCACACTGTTATATCTGCTTATCTACCTGGGTTCTATATCTATGCCTGCACATCTCTCAATTACTTTCAGACAGAAAAAGTATTTATCTCCCTCTCTGACACACAGTAACTTGATATTTATAGCAGGGAGGAATCACTGCTAGTTAGGCAGGATTTAAGCACAGTAGGTGGCTGTGCAATCTCAGTTAATTTCTGAATTAGAATTCTGACGTGCTATTTTCTCTCTGTTGTAGACGAAGATGGAGACAAGGCATCAGTGTCAGCAAAAAAGAGGAGGGTGGAGAGCTTCCAACAGAAGGAGAAGAGGAAGAGGGATCTGGGCCAGGCCACCTCTGACAAGAGTTTCGTAGAGGAAGAGAAGAGGATTCTCAGGCAGAACGTGGACTGAGGCCTAGATCTGGTGTGAAGCCTGGGCTTTGATTTGGGTTTTGGTCCAAGTCTGGGTGCACTAACCCTCAGTGACTGTCCTACAGCTCTGCCCCAGACACCCCCACACTCCTCTCTCTTATCCTGTGTCCAGCCCCTGGTTTTGTGAATGGTCCAGTACTCGTCTACCCAGTACACATGATATAGATGTTATTGTTATGGAAACATTTGGACTGTTATTTTTAAACCCTTGGTATATCTCTGATCCAGACACTAGTGGAAAACACATTTATTCCTGAGTTTGTGTGTCCGTAGGTATTGTCCAATGTTTTGTTGTAAATAGACAACCACCTGACCTACATATAATAGGCTTGATTTGGATGAATATCTTTTAACTGCTTTGGGGGATATCAAATGTGTTCATATGTTTGGATCATGGGCAGATTTATTTTTTATATGGCTTTTATTTTTGAATAGTGAGAAATGTATGGTAAAGACATTGCATTATTAGTGTCTCTAAATGTCTCTGTTGGCGAGAACGCAGGGAGCGAGATCAAGAAAGACTGCATTTGATAGACTAATTGAAACCATGTGGGTAACTTTTCATATACATAAAATATCCACCTGATGGCGCCATTGGGCCACATTTGGGACAACTTTTTCACTGGAGGGAAAGGCTCATTTGCAGTAGTAGTAACTTATGTTGCCATGTCTTTTACTGTGTCTATACAATATGTATACAGTTAACCACACACTGACAGTTTTAATGTCAGTTTTGTAGTAAATTCCCTTGTCATACACAACTGATGCAATAAACGGAATGTTAATGACTTGTTGATTAGCTTTCATTCTTTAGCTTGACCAAAAAAGTCTACATTGATATGAGCGCTAAATGGTCAATCAAGCATAACTGTAATGAACAAACCAAAATATGTGAGACACCAGGGAAGCAAGGTAATGCACAACGTGCCATATTGTGAAACGAGTTTGGCCTTTGTTGTGAGGAGGCACTTGGAACATTTTGCTACATGCTGTACAGGCAGTGTACTTCAGATAAGTCAAAGATGTTTCACATAACGGGAAACACCTGTGAAGTTATTCTGTCTGTTAAATATTTAACTCTTGTTCTGGATTTTTATTTCCTTAGCCCTGAAGCGCTTTATAGCTACTAATTTCCAATGAAACTACACCATGGTGATATGGACATATTGTTTGAATACAGTGTTCCTATTGTCAAACATTGTTCATATTCCGTTTTTCATTCTAAGGTATAACATCACTTGGGTGCATTTGAAATGGACTTTTTATAACCTGTATTTCTGAGAATGTGCTCTGATTTGACATGCATGAAATGTGCATTCCCTATTCAGAAATATCCAGTAGTCAATGGAGCAAATATAATGGGTGTTTAGAATTGTTTCCGCAATTCTTAACATCAACTGTTCTGTGATCAGAGGAATTCCTGCCATATCAGTCATCGACCGCTAATATGAAATACTAGTAAATATGCTTTTGATCATATTCCTTTTCCAGGTATGTGCCTGGCCGTGCCTGAAATATGTACCTGATCCAGCTCTGGAGCAGGAGACTGATTTTCTATCACCCATATTTGCGTACAAATAACTCTTCTCCCCTGACTCAGTGGATGACAAATGACCAGTAAGGTGACATCCATTAATGTTCAAGAATGTGAATGCCTCACACAGACGTGGGTTTTGCTATGTGGAAATTTCCCTGGAAAGGGATGTGTTTTGCAATGTAGTGTGGAAATTCACATGTATGACTGGGAGGAAGGAAAACATTCCTGGCAGCAATGCATAAGCCATAGACAGTAGATTACTGTCTCACTGGTGGGGAAGGCTAATTTGCTCTAGTAGTACAGTGCCTTCAGAAAGTAAGTCTTCATACCCCTTGACTTAATCCACAGTTCGAGGCATTGGACAACTTTCCTGTTCTTTGCGGTTTCATCTGTGTTTGAAATCCTCTGCTCAACTGAGGGACCTTACAATTATCTGTATGTGTGGGGTGCAGAGATGAGGTAGTCATTCAAAAATCGTGTTAAACACTATTGCACACACAGTTAGTCCATGCAATTTATTATGTGACTTGTTAAGCACATTTTTACTCTTGAACTTATTTAGGGTTGCCATAACAAAGGGTTTGAATACTTATTGACTCAAGACATTTCAGCTTTACATTTTTTATTAATTTGTGAAGATTTCCTAAAACATAATTCCACTTTGACTATATGGGGTATTGTGTGTAGGCCAGTGACACAATCTTAATTTAATCAATTTTAAATTCAGACTAACACAACATTTTGATAAAGTCAAGGGGTGTGAATACTTTCTGAAGGCACTATATTTTGTTCATTTAGCAGATGCTCTTATCACACCGTAGTGCCATCAGACTTCTGATACCAATGCAGGGTGAAAAGGGGCCACAAAATGATGAACCACTATTACAAATGGTATCAAAGTATTTTGAAAAAACAAATTAAAGCTCTCGAAAGTATCTTCTTACAAAATACATAGGAGTGTAGTTCAGCCTAGTGTAATAAAATTGACAAAATACTCAGAAGTAATTGAAATACATGTACATATTTCAAATACATGTAACCATTTTCTTTCCAAATTATATACTGTCTATACACACCACGTATTTATACTCTGGATTCTGACATGCTCAGCTCACTCTAATATATTTACTCTAGGTTGTTGATTGGACCCATTCTGTCATTTTCTTGATTTCTTGTTGAGATTCTTTTGATTATTTGTGTATTTGTATTGTATTTGCGAGACATTCTACTGCACTGTTGGAGCTCGTAACAAAAGCATTTCGCTGCACCTGCTATATCACCTGCAAATATGTGTATGCGACCAATTCACTTTGATTTTTGTATTTCTCAATTCAGATTCATTCATGCATCACCAGTGAACTACTCCAAGCATACAAAAAAACGTTACAAACAGGCATGACATACAGTAGGTAACACGTTTACTGTAAGGTCAAGCAGGCCTACAGTGCATTCGGAAAGTATTCAGACCCCTTGACTTTTTCAACATTTTGTTAAATTACAGCCTTGTTCTGAAATTGATTAAATGATTTGTTTTCCACACACAATACCCCATAATGACAAAGCGAAAACAGGTTTTTAGAAATGTTTGCAAATCTATTGAAAAAAAAAAAAGAAGATACCTTATTTACATAAGTATTCAGACCATTTGCTATGAGACTTGAAATTGAGCTCAGGTGCATCCTGTTTCCATTGATCATCCTTGAGATGTTTCCACAACTTGATTGGGTCTACCTGTGGTAAATTCAATTGATTGGACATGATTTGGAAAGGCACACACCTGTCTGTATAAGGTCCCACAGTTGACAGTGCATGTCAGAGCAAAAACCAAGCCATGAGGTCGAAGGAATTGTCCGTAGAGCTTAGAGACAGGATTGTGTTGAGGAACAGATCTGGGGGGGATGGGTAAAAAAAAATCTGCAGTATTGAATGTCCCCAAGAACACAGTGGCGTCCATCATTCTTAAATGGAAGAAGTTTGAAACCGCCAAGACTCTTCCTAGAGCTGGCCGCCCGGCAAAACTGAGCAATCGGGGGAGAAGAGCCTTGGTCAGGGATGTGACCAAGAACCCGATGGTCACTCTGGCTTAGCTCCAAAGTTCCTCTGTGGAGATGGGAGAATCTTCCAAAAGGACAACCATCTCTGCAGCACTCCACCAATCAGGCCTTTATGGTAGAGAGGCCAGACGGAAGCCACTCCTCAGTAAAAAGCACATGACAGCCTGCTTGGAGTTTGCCGAAAGGCACCTAAAGACTCTTAGACCATGAGAAACAAGCTTCTCTGGTCTGATGAAACCAAGATTGAGCTCTTTAGCCTGAATGCCAATCGTCACATCTGGAGGAAACCTGGCACCATCCCTACGGTGAAGCATGGTGGTGGCAGCATAATGCTGTGGGGATGTTTTTCAGCGGCAGGGACTGGGAGATTAGTCAGGATCGAGGGAAAGATGAACAGAGCAAAGTACGGAGAGATCCTTGATGAAAACCTGCTCCAGAGTGCTCAGGACCTCAGACTGGGGCGAAGGTTCACCTTCCACCAGGACAACAACCCTAAGCACATAGCCAAGACAACGCAGGAGTGGGTTCAGGTCAAGTTTCTGAATGTCCTTGAGTGGCCCAGCCAGAGCCTGGACTTGAACCCGATCTAACATCTCTGGAGAGACCTGAAAATAACTGTGCAGCGACGCTCCCCATCCAACCTGACAGAGCTTGAGAGGATCTGCAGAGAAGAATGGGATAAACTCCCCAAATACAGGTGTGCCAAGCTTTTAGCGTCATACCCAAGAAGACTCGAGGCTGTAATCGCTGCCAAAGGTGCTTCAACAAAGTACTGAGTAAAGGGTCTGAATACTTATGTAAATTAGATATTTCCAGTTTTTATTTATTTTAACATTTGCATAAATTTCTAAAAACCTGTTTTTGCTTTGTCATTATGGGGTATTGTGTGTAGATTGATGAGGGGAAAAAACAATAAGGCTGTAACGTAAGAAAATGTGGAAAAGGTCAAGGGGTCTGAATACTTTCCGAATGCGCTGTATATCCTCTGTAAGTGTTTTATTTATACATCACTAGTGATTTACTAGGCATGATATGATACATTTACTGTAAGGTCAAGAATATGTCCTCTGTAAATGTCATGTATAAGTCAAACTTCCCTTATAATTGATATGCCTGATAAGTGAACAACTCCAATCGTAATATGGTATCATATGATGACATTCCATCCTGTACAGTATGTTATGTGTCACATATCCAGTAAGGTCAAGCCTTGATGAAGATGTCCTGGCAAAACAGAGTGCACTCTGGGACGATACCGCTTTAATCCATAGCTGTGGCTGTTGCTACTCTGCTCTTAAAGTCCTTAACCACTAATTTCCAGTGACACTATACCTTAGTGATATGGACATACTTAGTTAATGAAGACATTGTCTTTTCATGTGCTAGTTGTGGTATCAAACCCAAGTGATGATGGTATAACATCACCAATTATAGCATCCCATGGCTCTGGCCACAGCTGTTATCTGATGCTTTGCTGTGCTGTGGTCCACATTTACATCCTGAGAGCGAGTGGACTGCTAAGTGCCAGGAAAGAGGGCTGTCAGGTTGTCAGCGAGGCTCACGGGGAATGCTGGGTGGTGGGTGCTGCTGAGAGGCGCAGACCTGGGTTCAAATACTATTTGAAATAATTTCAAATACAATATACTGTATGTGCTTGATTAAGCTTGCCTGGTCAATAGAATAGTCCAAAACCTGCAAACCTTGCCCATCTTGCACTCCAGACAGGCTAGACCAAGCACTCAACGTATTTGAACGATTTCTAATAGTATTTGAACCCATGTCCACTGGGTGCTGAGGCATGCCCTGTGTTGTCTCTCTTCTCACTCCCACTGCCAGCAGTGGCCATGGGTAGATGTTTTCTAGAAGCAAACAGTTGCTTTTCACACCACTGGCCGGCCCATTCTGACAAACAGATGTTGTGGAGCGGAAAACCCGGGATATCAGCTAGGGACAAATCCTTTTTTAAATATGTCATTAAATGCTTCATGTAAGGCAACACATGTTGCTGTTCCAGCTGTACATTAAAAACATGTTATCGAGATGTGTGTGTGTTTTAGGTAACAGCATAATTATCATAATCATTACATTTCTAAACATGTAGTGGACCAGGGCCCAGGTTCCCAAAAGCATCTTTGATGGTTCTAAAGATGAACTTAGCCTTAAGATGCTTTTGGGAAACTGGGCCCAGGGCATTTCG